TTGCCCCACAATCGCCTCAAAGATGGAGGCCCAGGCTACCTGGCTGGTGGCGCTGCAGTGGGTAGGTGGGGCCTCCTTCTGTGGGGCAATTGATCTGGAGGCCCTGTGATCGATCGCCCCATAGAGGGAGGCCCAGGCCACTGGTCAGCGACGCTGTGGTGGGTGTGTGGAGCTGGCCAGTGATCGCCCCGCAGAGGGAGGCCCAGGCCAGCCAAGTGATTGCACCCCACGCCTGTCACCCGCAGAGGGAGGCGACTGGTGGCGGGCAAGGGGGGGCAGCGCTGCACAGGTGGCAAGCAGTGGCACCAGCAGGGGCGGGGCCAGTTGCCGGCAGCCGGGGGAAGGAAAGCCCTGATAGGCCCTGATTGCTGGCCAGGCCTGGGGACCCTACTTGAGGGGACTGGATTGTGAGAGGGTGCAGGTTGGGCTGAGGGACACCCCCCAACCCCCGTGCACAAATTTCGTGCACCAGGCCTCTAGTTACCTCCATAATATTGCTGAGGAAATAGCTTCAGAGTAACTTAAATTTTCAGAACAAAGTAACACTGGCAGGAGACTAACTTCAGAATACAGATTTTCCAACATTGTGCTATGTTGTCTCATTCGATGCTGAGTCCTGCAGACACTGAGTGACATAGTCAGGGCATGTGGCTCCCCCAACCCTGGACCAAACCAAACACCTGGCACCTCCACGGCACTGCTGGGTGGTGACCCCAAACTCCCTCATCCTGAGCAGCAACGCTGCACACAGATCAAATCCTCGCAAACACTTTGAATGAATGACCTTCAACACAGAGAGGTTTACAGTGCTGCCCAAGCAGAATTCAAAATAAACAGCATTCAACTCTGAAATAAAATTTTACTTATGTGAAACTAGAGGACCGGTGCATGGATTCGTGTACCGGTGGGGTCCCTCGGCATGGCCTGCGGGGATTGGGCTGAAACCAGCAGTCCAATGCCACCTGCCACTCCTGTCTGCCACTCCCGCTCATCCCGGCCTGCTGTGCCTGCCATGCCTGCCGCGGGCTTATGCCCAGTCAGTCCTGATTGGGAGAGGATCGGTTGCTGAAGCAGTGCTCGCCAGCCAGCCCTGCATCTGGCGCCTTTCCGTCAGCTGAGTGGCACTGCTGCTATGGGAGTGCAATGACCACCAGGGGCAGCTCCTGTGTTGAGTGTCTGCCCCCTGGTGGTCAGTGCGCATCATAGCAACCAGTCGACTGGTCTTTCAGTTGTTCGGTTGCTTAGGCTTTTATGTATAAAGATGATACAAAGCGTTCTTGTATGCTGAAATTAAAATGGGTTCTTGAGATTTCCTGACTTTTTTTTTGACCCATGCCCTGCTGGGGTCCTGAGCACACATTCGGTTTTCTTATTGGGCCCTCCAGCCCTGATCAGAGGTTTCAACCTCTCAGCTCTGTGTTTATGGGTGATTCTCTTGTGTCGCCCAGAATGGCTTTTCTAGACTGTCCATTTTCTCCAAGCTCCATCCCTCCACCCAATGAGACAATAGAGGTCCAACCCACTCAAGGTTCCCATCGCCTTCTCTGACCCTTCAAAACAAAGAAATTGTAACTAAAGTGAATTGAGCACTATCTGCCCAGAACTGTGCTGAACACAGGATAGACATTTATTATCAATTAAATGTCATGTGAAATCATGAGCCCTGGCTGGTATAGCTCAGTTGGTTGAGCACCGTCCCTGCATCAAAAGGTCACTGGTCTGGTCAGGGCACATTCTTGGATTTCAGGCTTGATCCCCAGTAGGCTTCTCTCTTACATCGGTGTTTCTTTCCCTCTCCCTTCTTCTCTCTCCAAAACAAAACAAAACAAAACATCAACAAAAAACATATTTTAAGAAAAGAAAGCATGAGGCAGACATTATTACTATCCCCCAAATTAAACAATTTGCCCGTGGTCACTGTACCAATTAGAATTTTTAGCAAGGAAACCCTTTGGCTACTTGCCAGCTCAGGGGCTGCATAATCAGGCTTAAAGAATAGGTTGGGAGGTAGGTAGGTAGAACCAGAATGAAAAATCACTCAAAGACCCAGTTCAGGAAAGATACAGTTGCCACCAAACCCTCTTGCTTGGGACCCTGAGCTCCACTTCTGCTTGCTCTGCTTCCCTGCTGCCTCTGGACACTGGATATCACTGCGGGCTCTTTTGCTGAAATAAATCCTCCACTGTTCCTGTTTCCTGGAATTATGAGCCTCTGATTTTAAAAAAACAAACACAGAATGGGGGCACCTGATTGGCTGAGCCTCTGCCATGTGCTCACATCCTAGCTGCAAGAGAGGCAGGAAAACAAGTACTTGAACTTTAAGAGTCGGCACTGCCCCTCCCCAAGACTGCGATGGTGAAGGGATTTCTCCAAAATGGGAAGGTGGAGACAGATGGTAGGCAGACAACAAAACAAAACAAAACAGATAAATATTTACAGCAGCCACAGAGGTAGCAGAGACAGGATTTGAATTCAGATCTGTTTGACATAAAATCTTGGATGCCTCAAATGGTTACCTGGGCAAAATGTTAACTCTTCTGAACTTTAGTTTTCAAATCAGCACAATGGGGAAAACTCTTTCTGGTGGGTGTGAGACTGAGAGGAGACTTTACCTGTGAAATACTCACCAAACCTAGCAGAGAGTCAGATCTCGTTAGCTGGTTACTGTGGTCGGGGAGGTTTCTCCTCTGAGGGGTCCAGCTTATAGTGATGTTTTTCTTCTCACACCCTTTATGTGTATGCTCTGTCAGCTACAGTCCAGGCCTTGTCATTTCTCCCGAGAGAGAAGCAACTTCTGTACCAATCTCCCTCACCCTGGTAATTATCTTCAGTACCAGCTGTCCAAGTGATTTTTCTGGGAAAAAAAACAACATCTACCCTGGCTGGTGTGGCTCAGTTGGTTGAGTGTTGCCCTGTGCACCGAAAGGTCACCGGTTCGATTCCTGGTCAGGGCACATACCCAGGTTGCAGGTTCGATTCGCTCCCATGATGATTTAGTGTCTGCCTCACCTGCCTCAATGTTTCCCCTTCTGTCACCAATATTCACAGCTACAGCTGCTTACTGACCAGTCCTGACCTTTCGCTATGGAAATCTGCTTTCTATTCTCCATTCTTCTCCCTGCCAGGAGGCCCTTGAGCAGCTCACTTCCCCAAAGTCTCAGTTTTTTCATGTGTGAGTTGAAGGCTTATGATTTCTGCTTCTGAGGATTGTTCTGAAGATAATGATAAATATGAGGATGACAATAATAAAAATAATGAAAAACAACAATAAGAACAGTTGATAACGATTCACCACCAACTATGTGTCAGGGACTAGACAGTTTACATAGGTTACCCCATCAGGTACAGTTATGATTTGTATTTCCTCAGAGGAAGCTTGGACAATTTACCTCACTCAAGGTCAACAGCTACCAAGTGTCAGGGCCAACACTCAAATCCAATCTGTCTGACACTAAAACCTATTCTCCAATTCTAGTATTTCAGGGTTCTAACATTCTTTCTTTGTCTCCTCTCAAAGTATCTTAAGTTCCACCTGAGGCCCAGCCCTTACCCAGCTTTTTCAGAAGCTCAGCGGAAGGGGTACGATTCCCATTCTCTCTACACCCTAGGACCCCCTAGAACACTTCTCAGAGCCTCACTAAATGCCGGTCATTTACTCTGCCTACACATGCGTATGCGGTACCTGCCATGTGCCAGGTGTGTCAGAGAGTTCGAGCTGTTCTTCAGTAACTGTCTTCCCCTTCTTAGTGAGATGACCCCTGAATTTAACCAGCCATGGTTGCCCAGAATAAAGGGAAGATTTCCAGCCTACCTTGCAGCTAGGTGTGGCCAACTAACTGCATGAGCCGGGCCAATGTCCTGAAGTGGAAGTGACTGATGTGTGCCGATTCCCAGTGGGGCCCTGGCGGGGAAAGGTGTGCACTCTGTCCTCCCCCGATGGCTGTCCCCCTCCTCTGTCCTCCCCGATGGCTGCCATGGGGACTTGATGGTAGGGATGGAGCCGCCCTCCCGGATCGTCCAGGGGAGCTGCCTGTGAGGCTGGCCAAGCATCCAGCCAGAAGGAACCACGCTCCTGCTGAATGGTGATGCCGCTGCTCGGAACTGCTTGTCCAGACTTTCACATGAGAAAGAAACCAGGGTTTGTCTTTGGGAATCATTGGGGGAAAAAATACTGGTTAAAACAGTTGAATTAATATCTCAGTTATACTCTAGTTACACATACTAATACCAGCTGATGTGACGGGCGCTGGGATGCCAAGGCAAATTTCTGACATTCTGATGGGAGAGACGAAGACGAAACATGTAAAAACAAAACAAAACAAAAATGGATAAATCTTTGAAGGTTACAAAACAAGTTATTGTGCTACAGAGCGGCTGCAGGCGGGAGCACCGGAACGCCTCTCCGAGCAGGTGACGCTTGGGAGGAGACTGAATGCTGAGCACAAGCCAGCCAGGGGGGGGGGGGGGGGGGGGGCGAGGGGGGGCGAGGGGGGGCACGAGGGGGCGGGCGGGGTCCGAAGGGGCGACGTTACAGGAAGAACAAACTCCCTGGACTGGGCATGGCATGAGACGAGCCATGCCAAGGTTCAGAAAGGATACGTATGTGTATCTTTTTGTTAGAAAGCAGAGAATGTGTCGACGATCAAGTAATTAATTTAAAAAGGAAGCCGTGAATGTTTTTGTTCTTTAAAGTAAATGTTTCTTGATGTGCATTTACATATTAACTAAATAATTCCCTGTGGGTCTCACACAGCCGTTTCCTTGCAGGAGGGAAAGCCACTGGGCACGGGCGCTGGCCAGTCCCCCACGCGCTCATCCTGTGCTTTGCTGCCGCATCTGCTACACACTGTCCTCTGGCCTGGCTGACCTCATATAAACCTTCTCCTGCTACACTCCGCTGCCCACGGCACTGCCGATAAAAACGAGGCTCATCCCGGTGGCAGAGAATTCTTTCCATCCCCGGCAACACAGCAGCCTGCTTCTCTGGTGACCTGCCAGTCATGAAGGCTCTATTCCTGCTTGTCATTCTCCTGGCCGTCCAGCCAGTGGTATCAGGTAGCGTGGGTCTCTCTCAAGTATCTGGGATCCCGGTCATGAACTTCCCTGCTTCCCCTTCCTCCTCATGTGGGCAGCATCGGAAGCTTGTCCTCATTTCATGCGGCTTTGGGAGGCCTTCCCATAATCATCTCATGTCTACACCTCTCCCTGATGCTTCTTTGTCAAAGTGAGGGGAAGAAAGATGTTTGGAGCATCTGGCACTTAAAGGCAGGATAGTATTCTGGTGGGATCTTGGGACCAGGCTCAGGAGTGAAGGGTTGGGTGTAGGTCAAACATGTCAAACTCAAAGGCTAACACGGGCCAAATAAACGAGGCATGCGGTCGGCGAGCTGCGAGTTTGACATGCTTGGTGTAGGTTGAGGACTTTTGGGGGAGTTGGGAGACTAGAGTGAAGGCTGGGGGTGAGTTGTGATGGGGGAGAAAGACCTTAGGGTTGGAGTGAGAGAGGGAAGATACAGGTGAGCAGGAGGTAAGGAGTTGGGCTTCGCTGATGTTTGGGGTGGGCTGGAGAGGAGATGGGATTTGGGGTGAGTGGGGCTGGTGTTGGGGGTTAGAAGGGGGCTGGGTTGAGACTGGGAGTTGGTACTGGATGGTGCAGGAAGTTTATTAGAGGTTCAGCTTGGTGAGGGTCTACTGCTCAGAACTGAGGCTGGTGACTTGATTAGATTTGGGTTTGGCTTGGAGTTGGGGACCAAGGGGCATTGAGCTGGGTAAGTCTGAGAGTTCTAATTAAGATTGGGCTGGGTTTTGAGTTTGAAATGGGTGAATATGGGGTCAAGGAGAATTGCAGATTGGGTTGTAGCTGGAGCTGAGGCTTGTTGAGCTTAAGTTAGATAGGGCTAGACTATTGATAAAGAGCCAGATCTGTTGAAATGTGGCTGGAAATCCCCTAATATTATAGGTGTTGTTGTTGTTTTTTTGACCTTTTTCCGTCATCCCCAAGCTCCATTAGTGCCATTGGCAGCAATTGATCCCAAAATTAGGAGTAGGAGGTTGGGGGATAGGAAGAGAGAAGGGCGGGGTGTCTAAAAAAGGCTTTAAAAAAACACACCTTGCCATTCCCAATTTTGAAACAATTGTCTCAGTTCTTTCCCCTTTTAAGGTCTCTTCTCTCCTTTCCTGGGACTGGCTCCAGCATTACTGACTCAACCCTCTCCCTTCCCTTTCCCCGTCCTTCTATGCTTCCTATGGTCTCTCCCCTTGAAGGATACTAACACGGTTGTTCCTAGAGCGAGTGGCAGACTGTTGGATGAATGGAAAATGCCGGTTGATGTGTAAAGATGATGAAGAGAACGTCCTACGCTGCTCAAACCGTAAACGGTGCTGTATCCTTAGTCGTTACTTAACAATGGAACCAGTAACAATTCATGGACTGTTCCCCTGGACCACTCCTAAGCTGACCAGAAAACCAAAAATACCTAAGCCCAGACCTGGACACAGAATTGGAAGATAAATGGAAATTGTGGGTTGAAATGACTTTGCTTCAAGTTTGTTAGTTTACACATCCCATTAAAACTCGCAAATCTGTTTAACGTGCCTGTCAATCATGAGACATGATGCTCCAGGTGGACTGAGGGTGAGGAGATGGCCCGGGAGGGGTCAATAGGTAGCAGAGAGACCCCACCGAGGCCGGGCCACAGCGGTGGAGTGATGATTACAGTTTGGAGGATGGTTCCTCATCTTCCAGCTGCAGGCAGGGGTATTGGGTCAGGAGTGGACCGAGCAGCACACATGGAAATCCGAGATTTAAAGACACAGCAGATACCTAGGGAGTGGGAGAAGCCTTGGGCTGCTGGGAGAGTTGGTCCATTCGGGGGGTGAATGGACTGGGGGTGGACAGGGACTGAATAGAGCCAAATCCTTGGATTTCTGGGTAAGTGGACTGAGATGCCTTTGGAGGCTCAAGAGCCCACAGCCCCAAGGACCCGAAAGTTTCTAAGTACTAAAAAAGATAAAGTACATGCATTTACTGATTTATAAATGCCTCTATTATTCATTATTTACATTCTCTCATGGACTCAGTTATTCATTCATTCACCTCAGCTCTGCCACCTGCTACTGTCAGGCTCTCTGACCTCTCGGAATGCCGGCTCCCCTGCCTGTAAGATTGGAATGACAGACGCCTGTAAGATTGGAATGACAGACGCCTGTAAGATTGGGTGGGAATGGAATGAGAAAACGCAAAGAACGGTGCCCTGTCCGTAGGACGTTGTCCGTAAACGCTAGTTGCTGCGGCTGCTCGCTGATTTAAGGCGTTTAAGGAATGAATATGTGCTGTGTGTCTTCCAATGGTGTTAGACTCTGAGGGACATAAAGGCCTGTTTCATTTGAACAAAGAGAAGGCCCACCCACGGGGAACATTCAAGAACTCTGAGTGGGAAGAGAGAAGATTCTAGAGGTGTCTTCCAGGCATTGGTATCCTAAGCCCATTCTCCAGGCTTCATTTATCTGACGGGAGAACCAGCAGCGCAGTGTTCTGGGCAGTGAGCGCAGGGGACGGAGTGTTCTGTAAAGCGTGGTGCGTGACAGAGAGACGGAGGAGTGCACTCTGATCCATGGAGACAGTTTCCTCTCAGTTCAGTATTTCCACCCTCAGACTCTGGAGAGAGAGACCCCCTTCTCTAATCCTGATCTTACTCTAGGCTTCCTCCAGCTAAGTCCCTTCCCATGGGCTGAGGGGTTAACGGGGGGCAAGAGAGATATATCTGCCTAGGAACCGTGGACTCCCCATGCGACCCCACCCCGCTTCCTAGACTGTGATTTGAGTAGGTGGGACCTGCAATTTCCTGCCCAAAGAACCCCCGGGCCTGCTTTCAGGGACTGTGTGAGCCTTTTCTAGGTCCACCCCTGGAGAGTGGGGCTCACTGTTTGCGGATCCTTAGGCAGGAGGAGTGTCAGGGTCTGTGGCAGAGCTTGGATGTTCGGGCTTGGGTGTCCATGTCTGTGCATGTGAGAATCCTTGCAGCATGGGGCAGAGCTGGGAGAGAGGCGGGATGGACGAGGAGAGAGGCGGGCCATGGCCTGAGCCAGCTCCTCCATCTTCCATGCTCCTGCATGGGACCCTGAAGAATCCAAGGACTGTAAATTCAGATCTGACCTTTCAGGTGATCACGAAGGGCAATTTCATAAAGGGCAAGGGGATATCTTTTATTTATTCTGTTTGTTAGCTTGATTTATAACTGTTAAATATTCAGACATATGATTTATGAGCCTCCATTTGCATTTGCCCCAGGACCCCCCAGTGTTACGGCTGTGTCCTGGGGACTCCTTGGGCTCTCCTCAGACCACCTCCCACACCGGGAAATCTATGTGTTTTGAGAGCAAATTAACTGATGAGTAAGAACCAACTTGAGCAAGGCCCGTGAGCTGCTCTGCAGCCCTCCTCACACTGCCAGCCAGAGCCAAACATACTGAGGCCGTGGTCCTCTGATCCCTCCACCCAGAAAAGATCCCACCCTGATTCATACCCGGTGCATTAGCCAGGGTAGCTGGGACCTGCAATTTCCTACCCAAAGAGCCCCCACGCCTGCTTCCAGGGACTGTGTGGACCTTTCCTTAGATCCACCCCTGGAGGGGGGGCTCACTGTGTGTGCATCCTTCGGCAGGAGTGTCACAAAAGATTAAGATAGAACAGGGATTCAAAGTGAGTTCTGATCGGCTTCACAAAGTGTCACTATTAAGCAGGTATGGTTCACATCACGTTCTTGTGTAATTACTTCAGGCACTGCCCCCTTCCCCCCAATCCCCCGAACACACACCTACCAGGCATTTTATTTATGTCTGCAGGTCTGAGGCCAAGCCCAGTGCTTAGCACAGGTGCCACTTAGCGAGTGTGTCCTGAGTGAATGAATAGATGAATGACAAATGCATATCTGAAACCAAAAGTGGATCGGGAGGTGGGTACAAATGGCTAATTTGTACCATTATTTTACTCTGGGTGCCATTATTTTACTGGGTGCTATGGCCTTTCTCCAGGGGAAAGGTTTGAAACAGGTTTGTCTGAGAGTTGGGAAGGTGGGTAGAAACATTGGCAGTGGGTAGCAAACTCCTTTGGGGAAGGAGGTTGACCTGACAGTTACAAGAGTATTGTGAGCCCAAAGCAGGGTAGACTGGCACCTGCCCTGGACCTTTCCTTGGACTTATACATGGGGCTGCTGAGGTAGCTGAACCTCAATCCAGCCTCTGTTCTGTGCACCAGTACCCATCATCTAAGTTGCATTTGATACTTAGATGAAGAATTTGAGTCTTTTTTTTGGCGGCGGGGGTGGGGGAGGTTAATCCTCACCTGGGAATATTTTTCCATTGATTTTTAGGGAGAGTGGAAGAGAGAGGGAAAGACTGAGAGGAACATCGATGTGAGAGAAACATTGATTGATTGCCTCCTGCACGAGCCCTCCCTGGGGAGGATGTACATGTCCTTGACCGGAATTGAAACTGGGACCCTTTCATCTGCAGGCCAACACTATCCACTGAGCCAAACCAGCTAGGGCTCATCTTTGATTCTTGTCCGAGGTCTATGGGACATGAGAATAACTAAAACAAATTTGAAAAAGAACAATAAAGTTGGAGGAGTCATGTTAACAGATTTCAAGACTTACATAGCTAAAGTAATCAAGATACTAATATTGGTGGAGAGGTAGACAGATAGATCAATGGAACAGAATAGAAAACCCAGAAAGAGCCCCACACAAGTACCACCCACTGATTTTTTACAAGTGGGCAAAACAATTCAATGGAAGAAAGATATCCTTTTCAACAGATGGTGCTGGAGCACTTGGAATTTGTAGGCAAAACAAAAAAACAAAACTAAACACACACACACAAACAAAAATCACAAACACCCCAATCTAAACCTCAAAACTTATACAAAGGATTAAACAAAAATGGATCACAGATTTAAATTTAAATGTAAAAGTATAAAACTTCTAGAAGAAAACATGGGAAAAAACTTTCAGATGTAGGTGAAAAGCACAATCCATAAAAAAAAAAAAAAAAGAATCGATGAATTGGACTTAATCAAAAGTTAAAACTTTTACTCTGGGAGAGGCCCTGCGAAAAAGATAGATGAAAAGACAAATTACAGACGGGGAGAAATATTGACAAACCACATATTTGACAAAGGACTTTATCTAGATGATATAGGCAACTCTCACAACTCAACAGTAGAAAACAAACAGTCCAATTAGAAGGAAGACTCGAAAAGATATTTAATTGAAGAGGATACACAGATGGCAGGCAAATAAGCACGTGAAAGATGTTCAACATCATAGCAATTAGAGAATGCAAATTAAGGTCACAATGAGATTCCATTACATACTTATTAGAATAGCGGAAATTAAAAATAGTAGCAACACTAAATGTTGGCAAGGATGCAGAGAAACTGGGTCTTTTATACATTGCTGGTGAGAATGTTAAATGATACGACTGCTATGGAAAATAGATTGGCAGTTTCTTAAAACAAAACAAAACAAAAAACACAAAAATATACTCACCATACTACCCACCAAGTGTACTCTTGGGCATTTATTCCAGAGAAATAAAAATGTAGTTTTAAAAACGTGCAGATGAATGTTCATAGCAGCTTTATTTAATTTTGAAGGGATTCCTTTTAAAAAAATACTATTTTTTTTAGACTGGTGTTAAGTTCACAGCAAAATTGAGAAGGAGGCACAGAGGTTTCTCCTATACTTTCTGCTCCTACTTAGGCACAGCCTCTCCTGTTATTAACATATCCCACCAGAGTGACCATTTGTTATGATTGATGAACTTACATCAACACATCATAACCACCCAAAGCCTGTAGTTTACATATGGCTCGCTCCTGGTGTTGTACATCTATGGATTTGGACAAATGTATAATGACACGAATCCATAATTATGGTATCATAGAGAGTATTTTCACTGCCACCCAAATCCTCTGTGCTCCACCTATTCATCTCTACCCCACCCCAACCCATGACAACTACTCTTTTTATTGTCTCCATAGTTTTGCCTTTTCTAGAATATCATGTAGTTGAAATCATACATTATGTAGCCTTCTCAGATTGATTTCTTGCACTTAGCGATATGCATTTAAGCTTTCTTTATGCCTGTTCATGGTTGGATAGCTCATTTCTTTTTAGTGCTAAATAATATTCCATTATCGGGAAGTACCGGAGTTTATTTATTCACACACTGAAGGGCATCTTGTTTGCTTCCAAATTTGGGGGATCATGAGTAAAGTCACTATAAACTCCTGTGTGTGCAGATTTTTGCATGGACATTCGCTTTCAAGTCCTTTGGGTAAATACCAAGAAATACAATTGCTAGTTCGTAGGGTAAGAGTATGTTTAGTTTTCCAAGAAACCACCAAACTATCGTTCAAAGTGCCTGTACCGCTCTTCATCCCCACCAGCAAAGTATGAGAGTTCCGAGCTCCACATTCCTGCCAGAATTCCGTGTTTTCAGCGTTCCAGGTTTGGTCCTTCCGACGATGCTCTCTCACTGTTGTTTTAGCCCTTTTGGGTTTTTACTGCGCTCCCTGGCTCATTGTATCTCTGTTACTGCTACTAGTAAGTGGGAATTAACTATCTGTTAACAAACCTCTCACATTTGTTTGTTTGTTTGTTTTTGGTCAGGTAGACAACACACCCTCCGATGCATGGGCAACACGGGAATCTGTAGAGCATCTTGCAGAAAGGCTGAGCATCCCTACCTCTATTGCAGAAATTATAAAACATGCTGCCTCCAACCCTACATGAAGATAAACCTTTTCAGCAAAGAGGACAAACGTGAATGGAGCAGAGAGACCCGCTGGCCAAAAATATCCTGAGAGCTGGTGATCGCCATCCTCAGCCTGCTGTTAATACCCCTCATTAAAAGTCATGCACCTGATACCCTTGTCTCTCCTCTATTGCACATCACGGTGAGATTGGGTTTTGCATGACGAGATATCGGCCTCCCCACCTTTTCTGGATCCAGTCCTGTGACAGAGAAGGCAAAAAACCAGGGACAAGAAACGAAAAAATCTAGATAAGTCAGTGAAGATAGGGAGAGAATGTACTCGAATTCATTGAGGGAAGGCTGAGGGTTTAGGCAGAACTATGACCTTATCCGTGCTATGTAGATTTCAGAGGGAGACCAGAACTAGTGAAATATATCCATAGGACAGTGGGTGAAGGTCTTGTAGACAAATCTGTCTTAGCCCGTGGAAGAACTTCCTCACCAGCTGCTGAAATGTGGAATAAGTTGGCAAGGTTTCAAGTTAGGTAATTATCGGGGAAGAAACTGGAACATTGAATGCTGTTGTTCTTTTTGATGATTAAGGTCTTTTAATTCCTGAAAATCTAAGTGGCGTGTGGCCCTACTTACAACCAACACTAGCTTTTTAAGGTAACATTCTAATTTTGCTCTTTCTGTCTTACCTCCACTGATATCTTATTTCTTTCTCTATCTTTAGTTCCACATTTTGTCAAAAGGAAAGTTATATGTCTTGTCTCTGTTTCTCTGCCTCTCCGCAACTTGGTACAGTTTGTTTTTGTGCTTATTGTTCTATTGAACTGGCTCCGGCCAAGGTGATCAATGGGACTCCTTTTTGAAAGTTTATGGATCTTGCTCAACTAATATCTTACTCTGCCTCTTGGTAGCATTTTCAACCCTAGTTCATTCCCTCCTTGAAAGCCTTAACTTGGTTGGCTTCTGTGACGTCTTTCTGTTTTCCTCCTAACTTTTGGGCTGTTCCTTCTTCATTATCTTCTGGAGTTCCTCTGTCATTTGTCTCATACATTCCCCTGAAGTTTCTATTCTCTTGTGAGAATAAAAACTCTTCACATTCCTAGAAAAAGACTGACAGTTTTATAGCCATGATAACAAGTAAATTCCTCGAATGGTTTTAAACCTCTCACATTGACCAGTGGAACTTGCTTCAGTGAACACACTTCAGAAAGCCAAATTATCAAGGACAGCATCATGCTTTGAAAGCCAGTCAGGTGGCTCTGGGTTCACCTCAGTGTACATACTTCTAAGTTGTCGTCATCCCGCCTCCACATCTGTAACCAGCACCACCTCTCTAAGGTGCTTCCCCCAAATGTTGTATAAGTTCAGCTCTTTGCTCTGCTGAATTGAGCCCATGCCCGACCAGCATGACTTTATTTAAGAAACTGGTCATTTCATCATTTTGGTTTCAGACACTGAGTGATAATTTTATCCTTTGATGATTTTCTTCTTTCTTCCTTGCTTCCACCCATCTTCTCACAACAGCAAAGCTTAGGGTCTGGAGAAAAATGTTGGTTCTGACCTTTGTTTCTGGAAGAATAATGGTCTAAAAACCCAAATTACCCCTCCCATGGAATTATCTAAATCTAAAATAACTTAATTGAATGATACAAAACAACTTCTTAGGAATCCTTGACCTTGCAAAAAGAGCAAAGAATGATAGTCAAGAGAAACTAGGTATTTTTCTGAGGGCAATAACTGAATCATTTGCTAATCAAGTGAACTTGAGCTTTGGTTTCCATGGCTTTGGCCAGGGGAGAGGTGGAAGGCGGGGGAGAGGAGACAGTGCCTAGGGTCTGAAAAACTGAGTGTGATAGGAGACTTCTACATAAACCTCAGTCCTGAGTGTGTTACATATGCTATGTAAGATAAAACAGACACAACATTCCTCCTTCACCAGATGTTTCAAGGACAATTGCCTGGTCTTGAATCTTTGTACTCAGTATGTAGAAAAAACACCTCCATTAAGAATTTAGAACTGCAAGCTGGCTTTCACATAGTCTCTTAGCCTAAACTCATGGTATAATGATGGTCTGGGGGGGAAAATCCAGCTGATATTATGCTAAGTGAAATAAGCCAGTCAGAGAAAGATAGGTATCACATAATCTCACTCATTTGTGGACTATAATGAACAACATAAACTGATGAACAAAAATAGAGCCAGAGACATAGTAGCATCAGGCAGACCATCAAACCTCAGAGGGAAGGCAGGGGAGGGTGGAGGGTGGAGGGTAACAGATCAACCAAAGGACTTGTATGCATGCATATAAGCATAACCAATGGACGCAGACAAAAGGGGGGTGAAGGCCTGTCAGTGCTGGAGGGCAGGGGCAGGCTGGGAGAGGTCAATGGGGGGAAAAGGAGACATATGCAATACTTTCAAAAATAAAGAATTAAAAATAGCCGAAACCGGTTTGGCTCAGTGGATAGAGCGTCGGCCTGCGGACTGAAGGGCCCCAGGTTCGATTCCGGTCAAGGGCATGTACCTGGGTTGCGGGCACATCCCCAGTGGGAGGTGTGCAGGAGGCAGCTGATCGATGTTTCTCTCTCATCGATGTTTCTAATTCTCTATCTCTCCCTTCCTCTCTGTAAAAAATCAATAAAATATATTTAAAAAAAAAGAATTAAAATAAAATCCAGCTGATGATTTAGTTTAAAGTTGTCCCAACAGTACTGCCGAAGATACCTGACAGAAGTAAAGAAGAGGTAGTTCCGGAGGTCAGGACTCAATTAACTTACTCAGATAAAATTCCAAGAAAAATGCACAGATCAGAAAGCACTCAAGGCAACAAGGCACCATGAATTCAGACAGCAGAAACTACAGACCAGAGATTTAGACTTTCAAAGGCTTCACATATTAGAAGTATTAGTAACATTAATTTTAATAAGCTTTTGAAAAAATGAATTCATGAGATTTAAATTTCTCATCAATTAAGTATTATATGAGTCCTGTCATGAAGCACCCCAATGTTAGATAGAAATGATATGTTCAAAACTGGGACTTAAGGTCTGCAAAGCATAAATAACCTGCAGAACCAGGGGGCTTAGAAGCCTAGGGTGTGTGCTTTACTGCCCGTCTTTCATCGCACACTCATGGGGACACAGGGAGTGCTTATGTTAGTGAACAGAGGAGGAAGAAGCCAGAGCGTGTGTGGAGTGGTTTGCATGATGCCGGCACCAGCCAGAAGTGCTGCATGAACAGCCTGGTTAGAGCGGCCCTGAGATGTGACAGTGAGTAAGGAAAATCCTTCCCAGAGAAAGAGGGATGGCCTAAGGTATGGATCCACAGTAATTCATGGACAGTGATAATGGGCTGACTGGTGGGTTGGTCAGGGTCTCAGAAAGGACAAGATAAGATTTATAGCAACGAGGTGTGTGGGAGAGTTATGTGAATGGACCTCTCTGAAGAACTTGGGGTGTGAAGATATTTGACTTGAAAAACATTTAATTTTTAAATTAAAAAATTTTCAATTATGGATGACATTCAATATTATTTTATAGTAGAGGCCCGATGCACAAAGATTCATGCACAAGAGGGGGTCCCTCAGCCTGGCCTGTGCCCTCTTGCAATCCAGGACCCCTTGGGGGATGTCCGACTCCCAGTTTAGAGGTTAGAAAGAAACTTTGTGAGAGAAAAAAAAAACAAAACAAAACAGAGGCCACTCCAGCGAGGGTGGATTCTGAAGAGCTAGGATTAACTTTCTGCATGAAGATTCACCAGGCCAGGGAAGAGGGGAGGAAGGAGTGAGTGTGTGTGTGTGTGTGTGTGTGTGTGTGTGTGTGTGTGTAAGAGAGAGAGAGAGGCCCTTCAAAGACTCCAGACTCTTGTGTTATAAAGAACAAAACTTTGCTTTCCCCACATTTATCTCATGTCTAAACACAAACCATTGTGTACTTCAAGCAACATGTATTAGGGAAGGAGAATGCAGGCTTAAAGCAAAGGGTGGGGGTGTCAGAAGTGAGTATCTCCTCTCGTCCCCCAGCTAAAGCTCCTCGGGGCCTGTCCCTTTGCAAATCCACATTTATCTCTTGGCATGAGGTGAGGGAGCACAGCATTATCCTTGGAGCGGAAGGTCATGGGGACTGAACCCGTGGTGCCAGCCCCAAGTTTCATTTCCTCACCCTCCCAGGTCGCTTTCCACCCCACCACTGAGCCACTTAATGGGGTCGGAGGTCTGCAGCTGGATGCCTCCAACAGAGAGCATGCTGGAGGCTGGGTGGTCCAGCTCTGAGGCCCCTGCATCCATACCCCAGCCCCACTAGCTTCCCACCTGCAGGCAGCAGCTCGGGGTGTTCCATTTTGTGGCATGACAGACTCAATTCGACTGGATGCGGGGAGAGATTGGGTGGCTCCATGGCCCTCTCTCCCGCTCTCTGGCCAGGCTTGGTGTCCTGCCTGCTCTCCACCGGCTCCGTGGCTCCAGTTGGCACCGCCATCTTTGTCACATCAATTTGCATATTTTCTCCTTATTGGCTGTGGGTGCCACCATCTTTAACACAAAGTAATGGTTAATTTGCATATTACTCTTTTATTAGATAGGATTAGTTTCAGGTGTACAGCACAGTGGTTAGACATTTATAATTTATGAAGTGATCTCCTCAATAAGTCTAGTATCCACCTGAGACCATACAAAGTTATTACAATATTATTGATTATATTCCCTATGAAGCACTTTCCAACCCCCCAACTATTTTGTAAAAACCAACTTGAACTTGATATTTGTATGCCATCAGAAAGACAAACGAAGTCCTCAGTAGCCAGGTTCACAAAATGGCCCCTCCTTCACCCACCATTATGAGGCCTACATGCAGATGTCCATGTGTGATCCAAGTGCGGTCACAGAAATGTGCCTGTGAGGCCAGCCTTTCAACAGTTTCTATTCCAACCTTGAAGCAGCTGGGGGAAAGGAGTCCTTCGGGCTCACACGTGGGCCGGTTTCCCACAGTGGGTGATGACACCGGGGTCTGGAGCCAGAGTTAGCCTTCACCTGAGGCTTCTGCTGCCGTACAGAAAACTTAGTGTTCTAAACACCACTCTCATACATGCAAGGATTTAGAATGTGATTGTGACAACTTATGCCGCCATCTAGGGGCAGGACCGACAGAAGGGATGCCTCTGG